ACTTAGCGGTGGGGGGAGGGAGGCTGGACCCAAATGCACCACCCCTGAAACAAGCCTGTGACCTCAGCTGCATGCTGGCGCTCCAACCACCTGCTAACCTGCAATGCCAGGCAGGGAGCTGCCTGCAAATTCCCCATCAGCATGGCGACTGGGAAGTGGGTCCCAGCCAGCATCAGAGAGCAGTCTACTGGCCCAGTCCCAGACAGCGCTCCCCTTTCAAGTCGAGTTTAGGACAGTGAGTGTACATCTGTATGAAGAGAGCCAGCACGGGTCTAATAATTAGGATGGGGGAATGGTGCCAGATCACCTGGGCACCCCATTTAAACCACCCCACCTCAATTTCCCCCTCTGTAAAATGAAGATAATATGCATGCTGGTAAAGAGCTTTGAGCATCTTACATAACAGATATGAGCACAAAGTTATGGTGAGCCCCTTTGTGCTAGTGGGGGAGGCTGCTGGGATTCAACAGCTGGGGTTCTAAGGTCAAGCCCCCCCAAAATTAAGCCCATTCAATGTTTTGTATTTAAATATACAGACACAGCTGCTTAAATAATCTTAGGTTCTTAACCTCGCAAACGTATTGCTTTAACCCAAAACCACCCTAGGAAAGAAGGAGGATGTGTGGTGCTAACCTGTCCAAGGTTTTAGGGACTTTTTAAAACTAAGGAATTTCAGCTTAGGTACTGCCCAGCTAAGGGTGAGAACGTGGCCCCCTCACAGATACTACTTCGTATCTGAGAATTTCGATGATCTGCTTTTAAAGTAGTAAAGAGATTCTCAGGGAAAGATCCAGGGGGTGCTGGAAAAGGCCATGGACTGGGACTTGGGCTCTATTCCTGGCTCAAGCACCAACTTCCTGTGTGACCTTCACTTTGCTTCCATCTTGTCTGTTTAGACGGTGAAGCCAGCTCTCCACTCCAGCCTTACGTCGCTCTAACTACGTCACTCAGGGGGGTGAAAAATCCACGCCCCGGCAGGATGTAATTTACTGACCTAACCCCCGATGGAGACAGCAAAAGGAGAACTTCTCCCATCAACAAAGCAACTATCGATGGGGGCGGGATCACTTGGTGATTCCCTGTTCTGTTCATTCCCCCTGGGGCACCTGGCACTGGCAGAAGACAGGACACTGGGCTAGATGGACCTTTGGCCTGACCCCACATGGCTGTTCTTACGTTCTCTGGTGGAGATGGATTAACTACGCTGACAGGAGAGCTTCTCCCATCGGCCTAGGAGCATCTCTGCTTAAGCGCTACGGGGCCTAGCCGCATTGATGCGGCTGCGCCGATGCCGCATTTTAAGCGTAGATCTGCCCTAAGTGTGACGCGAGCAGACCAGGTGTCAGCTCGTGCCAAGGCCCCGGGGCCTCCATGGAACACTGGCAGACGTAGGGCTGGAAACCAGTCTGGCTCACGTGTGCTTACATGCTGGTAGAACAGAGGTTACGTTTAGAAGAATGTGATTAGTCTTTATGGAACGCCTGTCGGACGCTGCGTGTAGCGATCTCACTTGTAAGCTGTAGCCCACGTTATAAGGGGTTTGCCTTGTAAACCTCTGCAACTCACCCTGCAGGAAAGACGCATTAACTCATGGAAGATGCTGGCTTCCTACAAAAGGTGTTAGTCCTGCCCCCCAAGAAGGCCCATTGAAACCAAACGAACCACTGTGACTCATCAATGAGCAAAGATTTTAATTGCATTCCTCCCTGCCCCCTCCACTCCCATGAAGAAGAAACCACCATGTGAATTCATCCCAGCAGCTCAAACTCTGGGAGGAAGGGAATAAAAATCGCCAAGAAGAAACCGGGCCTACATCCACACTAGAGAGCTTACAGAGGCACCTCTGTAATACTCTCAAGCAGCCGCTTTATGCCAACGGGAGAGAGCTCTTCCACCGACATAATCAAAGCACCCCCAACGAGCAGTGCTGGCGGGAGAAGCTCTCCCGTCGACACAGTGGTGTGCACACAACCACGTGTGCTGGCAAAACTTATGTCGCTCAGGGTGGGGTTTTTTCAGACCCTCGAGGGACGTAAGTTTTGCCCTCGTAAGTGGTAATGTAGACTGGGTCTCTGTGCTGCTTGGACTTCAGAAAGGGCAAGATTTCTAAGCAGAAGCAAGGGATCCCCAGCTGCTTGGCCTGGGTTAGCCCTAGAAGACATGTAGAGCTTGCATATTACAGCAGCTTCTAGTACCTTTGAGTCACTCCAAGCAGCTTGACAAACTCTTTGGGAGTGGAACAGGGTCTTACTGTGCGTTCATACAGCTCCTAGCACAATGGGGCTCTGAGCACAGTTGGCCTCTCCAGGCACTATTCATACAAACAGCAGATCAAGCTGCTCCTTACAGGTGATTAGTAAAGAACAACAGCTGGGTTGTGGCTTCTGTGATGTCTAATGAGAGTGTGGAAGATTTCTCCTGCCCCCCCCGCCACTTGGTGCTTGCCTAGAAACCTCCAGTCTGGCTTTCCCCAGTTTTTGCTGGAGCTGTCTTTGGAGAGCCAGATAAGCAGGGCAGGGTCCTTCTGTGCCTTTAATTGACAGGACAGCAAGGGTACTGGTTCAGCAGAGATCTCATCTCCTGCTTGTCCCGTGTTTGAGTTACAGAGACATTAACAAGAGAGACATGTGCAGCGCTTGGGGGTGGGTATCTTTGCTGCCCCCCATGTCTGGTCAGGAGCTATACCCCTTATAACACTAAACTAGGCCTTCCTTATCTCACTTGCCAGCCATGTCTCCAGCCGTTCAGGAGTGGACTCTGAAGGAAGTCCCACGCCTGTCCAGCTAGGTTGGAGGGACAAGGGCTATGATGTGGGGAGACAGACAGCTGCTCCCCTGAGGGAACACAAGAAAATCCATCGAAGGAAGTTTTCCTCCTTAAAGGAGATTGGCCAGTGCTATCAGTCAGAGCTGATCCTCGTAGGGCTCAGCCCTCATTTATGACAGTCCTTGAACCAGCCCAGTTCTACTGTCTTGGCTTCTGAGCCAGGTCTCACCCAAGCAGAACTTGGAAAAGCAGACTGCTTGTATTCTCTACCCCTGGGCTGCTCGTCTGGTGGGACACGACCCAGCTAGGATGAGGGGGGTACTCACCCAGCACAAAGCCCACATCCCAAAGTGGCAGAAAAGAGACGGCCAGGATGCAAATCCCTGCTGCAAAGGATGGGGGGAATATGGAGGCGTGCCGGACAATTTGGTGGCTCCAAAGGGAGTTGAGAAGCATAGCTCTGTTTCTTCATGCCAGCCCTCCTCCTAGCCCCCAACAAAGCCCCCTGCATTAGCACACCAGGATAGGTGTGTGCAGTGTGACTCGGCCATTCCTTGCCTTACTCACACACAGTGTGTTTGGTCTGCACAACCCAGGCCCGCCCCAGTCATTTACACAGAAACGATCTAGCTTTCTCCAGCATGAAAATTTGCTCACAGCTGGGCCCTCCAGCCGTAGGGCCAGACTGGACACTGCTCTTTTACTCGCCCCTGGAGACATTAGCGCAGAGTCCCTGGCTCAGTCTCTCCCAGCCCGTGGAGCTGAAACATAGCCAAGGCGCTGGGGTGGGGGGTGGGGAGAGGAGACACGCAGGGGGACCACACACTGAGCCCAAAGCTGGCAGCTTCAGCCAGGGCTGAGCCCTCCCTGCCTTTCCCAGCAAGCTGAATGGAGCCAGCCGAAGAAAACCCCACCCCCGTTCACAGCGAGCGCGGCCTGCTGAAAAGCTGCAGCAGGGCCCTCAGAACTGGGGGAAGGCACCGGGGGGGCCTGTTTTCAGGGAGGGAGCCTGGGGCCAGCTCCAGCGGCTGGAAGTGCAAGGGGAGGCAGATTCGGAAGCAGCAGAGATGGAGCCCATGCAGCTGCTGGCCCTCTTCCAAACAGCCCAGGGCCCAGTTTGTCGGGACGCCAAGAAGCGATCTCCGCTCAAGACCCTGAGCCCCTTCTTATCCCCTTTCAAAGAGGATGGGGCGGGAGAAGGGGCATGTGGGAAGAGAGAGTTGTACTTCTGTGACCTCCCGGTGCCGTCGTCACCCAAACCCACGCGGTGCTTGCATGGAACCAGTAAGGGAGGAGAGGGCCCACTGCAACCCAGCAGGGCAGCAAGCAGCACTGGGCTGCAATTAGAAGAAAGCTCGGCTGCCCAGAAGGAAGAGGTTCCTGACAGCGAGGGGTCTGCTGGGCTGGGGGCACTTATGAGTAGACAGGACAGCCTCCTCAATGGTACAATTCTGTCCTGGCAGGCGTGCTGGAACAATCGGTGCTGAGAGCCACCGCACCAAACTGTAAACCCTGCATATAATGGAAACCACTTCAAGCCGAGGGGCAAGGAGGTGGTAGGACCCCTAATTCCAGCACCCATGTGCACAGTTCAAGGAGCATGGCAGGATAGATTCAGAGCCTGGAAAGGGACCATCACGCAGATCGAGCATGACGTGCATCACACTGGCCTCGAATTTCACCCAGCCGTTCCTGCATTGAGACCAGCAGCTCAGCATCAAACCAGGGCAGGAGCTGCCATCTTGTCCCCAGCACTGTTACCAAGTTGCATTCCCCTAGTGCCTAGGAGCCCCCCGTCACTGACCAGGCCCCTGCTGTGCTCGATGCTGTGCAAACAGGACAGACAGATGCATTAGGAAGGGAGAGATTCTCCAGCAGGCACAGCTCCAGGCTAGCAGCCAATTCCCCTTCCCAGAGTACTGTTCAATCAGGCCAGGGGCGGGGGCCTGAGCAGCTTCTACACCTTGCCCCTGCCTACACACAGGGGCAACACACACTCGAGACAAGCGCCACCCTCCGAGCTTGGTAGACAGCGATTCTGATATATGCACTGACTCAAGTAGCGTAGCAGGCTGCTGTCGCCTATGAAACCTCAGACGCTCCTGCTCCAAAAAGCACAGAGCACTCTGCTCCTTGAACGGAAGGAGAATCTGCATGAGCAATACAGTGCTTATGACCCAGTTGAGCTGTTCTGATTCCATCCAGCAGAGGGCAGGAGTGCGCGCGTTTTATTATTCAGGGCAGGTGCAGTACAGAGAAAACCAAACTATAACTTCAGCCAGAACCCGACTTGCTTTCATTCTCCGCAGAAGCAAAGGAAAACATCACAGAGGAGTTAATTTCACAGACAAATATCGAACCCATGTGTTACTTACAAACCTCCAAAAAGAGAGAAGTCTGTGCCGTTCCCACCCTTTGTACAGTGTTCAAAATATCTATCTGTGCATGTTCCCAGAGGCCCGTGACAGCCTCTCCATGCCAGGAGGAGATGCTGCCTCTTGGGGCCAGGAGAGAACACGGGCAGATGTCCATCCACAGAGGTAACACACACACAGATCATGGGGTCTCGCCCTCCACCGTGGGGCAGCTAGTGGTGTTTGCAGGGCACACGCTAACTGAGTGTTACTGGCGGAGGGGAAGAATGGTTGTACCTTCCTCTGACCACCTGGCACCAGCCCCTGTCCAAGATAAGCTGCCCACAGGCATTAGGGCCGCAAGGGACTGTTACGAACATCTCATCTGACTTCCTGCAGAGCACAGGCTGGAGAATTCTGCCAAGTGACGCCTGGATCAGGCCCATAATGTATGGTTGAATTGGGGCAACTTTTAGAAAGTCACCCAGCCTCGATGCAAAGGGCCCACCTGATGGAGAAGCAGCCCCATCCCTGGGGAAGCTGTTCTAATGGTCCATTACTGGGAACAATTTGCACCATATTTCCAGTTTCAACTCTGCCAACTCCCAGCCCTGGGATCATGTTCCACCTTTGCCTGCTAGGCTAAGGAGCCCCCCAGTATCAAATATCTTCACTAGATGGATGAGCCACTGGTTCGGATGCAGCAAACCCTATGGGAAGAGATGCTGTACTGCTTTTCCTTTTTTCAGAGTAACAGCCGTGTTAGTCTGTATTTGCAAAAAGAACAGGAGTACTTGTGGCACCTTAGAGACTAACCAATTTATTTGAGCATGAGCTTTCGTGAGCTACAGCTCACTTCATCGGATGTGTTCTCTCAGTCCCATCCTGCCTGGGTCACCCACGCCAGGCTGACGACTGCAAACCCGTTACCCCGATCGCTTCCTGCCACGCCGCCCCTCATCGCTGCCTTACACAAGGGGGTAGGGTGGGCATCTCTCGCCAGCAATGTTGGATAGGTATAGAGCGTTTGGATACAAAACTGCTTACCTCCTCCTGCCTCTGTGTTAACAGTGTGACTTCGTCCCCCTTAGCGGTGACACCATGGACACAGGTTTTTGAGCCTGTTCCTGGCTGAGCTAACAGACTTGGTCCTTTAGCTCAAACAGTAGCAGCTTACGTTTCTAGAGCCAGAGATCGCAGGTTCAATCCCTGCGGATGGATCCAATCAGGAGCATCATCGTACACACAGCAGAGAGAGCTCAGCAAGAAAGCAGCTGCTCTGAGGGTTTAAAATCCCAAAATTCGAGGCTTGGGGGAGCTGAATTCTGTGTAGCCAGACTGGTAGAAGCTACCACCATTGATGGCCCTGCCAACTGGACTCTTCTGTGCCCAGAACTGGCCACTCCACTGCAGTCTCTGCTCTATGCTTGAGGGTCTGCTGCTTCAGTCCCTTCCCACAGCCAAGCTCCCGGGGCCGCGGGCCACATCGGATGGACCTGGAGTAGCCAACGCACCCTCTGATCTTTGGCTGTGTCCACTGAACTCGAGAGTCCAGAGCCAAGACCCACGAGGGCCTCCGGCTAGACTACAAACCCACAGATTGAGGGCTTCCCAGAGCCGCTGACAGCTGCTGCCTGCCACAGGGATCAGCTTTGAGAAACTCGGCCTCTCGGGAGGTTTCCAAGAGCCCAAACAGTCACCTCCAAGGCAACCCAGCTGTGTGCTGCGGAGATACCAGCCCTGCCAGGGACCGCGGTGAGTCTTCCCCGGCAGAGAGTAACAACGGTCAGCCCTGCCTGGGCAGGGACTGGAAGCCCTAGCAGTGAAAGGCTTCATATCCCGTGCCCAAGACCCACTTCAGACTCAGACGGTGCCCCCAGACTGGAGTCAGTGCCCTGGAGGGCTGGGCTCCAGACCCCATTCCTGCCCCTCCTCCCCCCCCCGGAGTCTGGTTTTTGGCAACTAGTTACATCCTCTAGCCCTCCCCCCTTAGCAGCCCCCTCCTGATATATTTAAGCCAGAGGAGCATCAGTAAAGATCAGTGCAGGGTCGGGGGCTGATCATTCTCCTGTCTGGTGTCACTCCCATCTGGATACAGGCAGCTGGTCCAGGGCTGGGAAGCTGGCAAGGCCCCCCTCCCCGTGCTCCAAGACCACACAAGAGGAAAGAAGCTTGTACCTGCATTATACCCCCACCCACTTACCTCCCTTCCATACCAGCCAGCCCAGCTGTGCCCTAGTAGCACCAATGCGTCAGCCTTCTAGGGGAAGGCGCAGCCAAGCCAGCTCTCAAGGCAATTCCCAGAGAGGGCAGCTGGGAAATATTTTGCTCTTTTCCCTCTTAAAAAAAAAAAACAAACCCCAAAAAACGCTGCCCAAAAAAGGGACCACGATGTCAGTTACTTGGGCGGGGACGCTGCAGATGATGCCTGAGATGCAGCAGCTTCTCGCTGCGGGCCTTGGGGGCTGCGGGGGGGTCTTCTGCTCTCCGGGGGGCTACCCCCATATCCCGTCCCGGGCAGGGTGAGCAATCGCAGGGGAAAAATGCAGGTCTCTTCTTCCTCCCCACGCCGTTCCCTGCCGGAGGGGCGAGAAACACTTCCCCAGCAAGGAAGCCCTCGCTCGTCTCGGTTGGGTTTCAGTTCCAAGGATCCGCTCGGTGCTGCTGATTGTAGAGCTGCAGCTTGATCTGGTCTTTGATCTGGTTGCTGAGGATCTGGGAGAGCAGGATTCCCACCAGCTGCAAGGAGAGGAAAGTGCCAAAGGCCGAACCCACCCGGGAGGGCTCAGGAACAGGTGAGTGTGCGGCTCCAACTGGGAACAGCCAGCATCCCCGCCGGCCAATCGGTGTGCTCCCCTCCCGAGGTGAAGCCAATCGGAAAGCTCTCACCCAGCGACAAGCGCACGGCTATTGACGAGAATATCCGTCGTTTACGTTTGGTGTTAGAATCCTAGAATCTCAGGGTTGGAAGGGACCTCAGGAGGTCATCTAGTCCGACCCCCTGCCCAAAGCAGGACCAATCCCCAATTTTTGCCCCGATCCCTAAATGGCCCCCTCAAGGATTGAACTCACAACCCTGGGTTTAGCAGGCCAATATTCAAACCACTGAGCCATCCCTCCCCCCTCTCGAGAGAGACTCGCGGCCCAGGCTGGAGCTGGGAAAGGGGCGAGCGGGCCAGGCAAAGGCTCCCCCCACGCCCAGTAACTGTGCTGAGCCCGACCCACAGCCTGCTCCAGCCCCGGGCTCCCCCCACAGCTCTGCCAAGCTCCGCAGCCAGGGCCCCAGTGCAAGCCGAGGCTTCCTTAGGATTCCCCCCGAGTTACACGCCCAAAGTCAAAACACGCCCTGAATTGGAGCACGGGAAGCAATTCTTCCCCACTCCCGTCCCAGGGCACGTTAGCACGGACCACGGTGAGGGTTTTTTCCCTGCTCTCTCTGAAACACCCAACAGGGATTCTTCGCTAGGGTTAGATGGGTCCATTCTGCACTCCAGCCCCTGCCATGTCATGGGTGGGGGAGAGGGAAACAGCCCTTCCCCGTTGGAGTGCTTCTAGCATCCCAGACCCACCACTGACGTGGGGGGCGTGAATACACCCCTCAGATCTAGGGGTGCCCAATCCCCGGCTCCAAATCTAAGGGGCCATTCCCTTTTAATCCCTGCTCCAGATAACCTGGCTCTCATTATCCTGTGGGGGTGTGGGGGCTATACCAAGTAGGCTGGGCCTGTCCCCTGCTCCCTTCCGCCAGAGCTAACGGGGGTGGGTGGGTGCAGAAACCTCTCCCCCCCCCCCCCGCAGTTTGAGTGCAAACACCAGACGCTCTGGCCCCAGCAGAGCACATCCCGCCGGGTGGGGGGGGGGAAGGGGGGAAACTACCTGTGGAATGGCCAAGCCGAGCGCGATGCCCCCCAGCAGGAAGAGGTTGCTGTGGATCCAGTTCACCAGCTTGTCGATGCAGCCGTTGGTGTAGATGAACTCGCTGGCCTCCAGGTAGTTCATGGCTTGCATCCCCTGGCCACACATGGTGTTGATGACGGCCTGCGGGGAAGCACCAGGGCAGGTGACAGCGAGCCGGGGCCCCGGGGATGGATAGCCTCGTGCGGCCACGCCTCGCACACCGCCACGGGCCGCACAAGTCGCTCCGGTTCCCTCGCACGCCTGCGGGATGGGGGTCAGGCTTTCCCTAGCTGCTGCCTAGTGGCACGTGGGACAGACCCAGGGACAGGTCCTGGCTTCCTTAGCCAACATGTCATTGTTAACGTCAGGTTTCCCTGTATGCTCTCTCCCCCGCAAGCCCAAGCCCCAGCCCTTCCTAGTTCCCCCATCACTGGGGTGTCTGGGCTCTGCAGCATGCTCCGAACTGGGAGAGCGGCCTCCTAGGGAAAGGGCAGAAGCTCCAGTGCTCGTGACTTTTCGGGAGATCCGGCTGCAGGGCATCACCTCGTCTGGTGTGGGACAGGCGGACTAGAGGGGATCCCATCCCTTCCGGACGAGGCAGCCAGGAGGAGCCATGACGTACAGGAACCCACGTGAGCTGCTTTCCCATCCCACGGCATGTCCGCCGGGCATTTACCGACACAACCATGCAAGTTTCATGGGACTCCTTTTCCACCCAGTGTCTCCAGCGAGGGTGTCTCCCTCATAGGAGCTGCTGGGGGGGAAGGGGGTGGGCACGAATACATCCCTAGCGCAGCCTCATTCTCCTAGACCCACTTGGAGACCAGAGGGCCAGTACCTTGCAGGTCCCAGCCTACGTGTGATTGGTGAGAGCCTGGGAAACCCCAGAATCAGGCCCCTCGTTTGTCACCCAGGATCAGTGATCGGATCCCCCTTTTTCCTCGGGCTCAGAAATAAACAATAGCCATTTCTAGCTGTGACTGGGCCAGGGCAGCATCGGCCACCTGAATTGGCTCCCCCAGATACCCTGCCTCCAGAGGGAGAAGAATTAGCAGGGCCTACATCGATTCCTATACAATACCCCCAGCCCTCTCCTCCTACCACGGCCTTGTCACTCAGCTGATGGAGCTTCTTCCAAGCCAGCCAGGAGATGGCATGGAGAGGGGTCTACAGCCAGCCATGGCTACAGCCTGGTCAGCTGGAGCTGTAGGAACCAATGGGCTATGAGCACCCCCTAGTGGCATGAGGGTTTGTTCAGGGACAAAGGGATCACATGCTTGACATGAATCACAGAAGTGTAGGACTGGAAGGGACCTCGAGAGGTCATCTAGTCCAGCCCCCTGCACTCAGGGCAGGACTATATAATGACTAGACCATCCCTGACAGGTGTTTGTCTAACCTGCTCTTAAACCTCCAATGACAGAGGTTCCACAACCTTCCTGGGCAATTTATCCTAGTGCTTAACCACCCTGACAGTCAGGAAGTTTTTCCTAACGTCCAACCTAAACCATCCTTGCTGCAATTTAAGCCCATTGCTTCTTGTCCTGTCCTCAGAGGTTAAGGAGAACCATTTTTCTTTCTCCCTGTAACAATGTTTTGCATACTTGAAAACTGTTATGTCAGTTTCTCAATCTTCTCTTCTCCAGTTTAAAACAAACCTAATTTTTTCAAATCTTCCCTCATAGGTCATGTTTTCTAGCCTTTTAATCATTTTTCTGGCTCTTCTCTGGACTTTCTCCAATTTGTCCACATCTTTCCCCAAATGTGGTGCCCAGAGCTGGACACAATACTCCAGTTGAGGCCTAATCAGTGTGGAGTGGAGTGGAAGAATTACTTCTGGTGTCTTGCTTACAACACCCCTGTTAATACAGCCCAGAATGATGTTTGCTTTGTTTGCAACAGTGTTACACTCTTGACTCATATTTAGCTTGTGGTCCACTAGGACCCCCAGATCCCTTTCCGCAGTCCTCCTTCCTAGGCCGTCATTTCCCATTTTGTACGTGTACAACTGACTGTTCCTTCCTAAGTGAAGTACTTTGGATTTGCCCTTATTGAATTTCATCCTATTTACTTCAGACCATTTCTCCAGTTTGTCCAGATCATGTTGAATTTTAATCCGATCCTCCAAAGCACTTGCAACCCCTCCCAGCTTGGTATTGTCCGCAAACTTTATAAGCGTACTCTGTATGCCATTATCTAAATCATTGATAAAGATATTGACCAGAACTCATCCCTGCAGGACCCCACTCATTATGCACTTTCAGCATGACTGTAAAACACTGATAGCTGCTCTTTGGGAATGGTTTTCTAACCAGTTCTGCACCCACTTTATAGTAGCTCCATTGAGGTTGTATTTCCGTAGTTTGTTAATGAGAAAGTCAGAGACCGTATCAAAAGCCTTTCTAAAGTCAAGATATCTCACATCTACCACTTCCCCACATCCACAAGGCTTGTTACCCTGTCAAAGAAAGCTATTAGGTTGGTTTGACACGATTTGTTTTTGATAAATCCGTGCTGACTGTTACTTATCACCTTATAACACCTTCTAGGGGTGTTTGCAAATTGGTTGCTTAATATCTTCTCCGTTATCTTTCCGGGTACTCGAGTTAAGCTGATTGGTCTGTAATTCCGCAATTTGTCCTTATTCCCCTTTTTGCGAATGGCAGAGAGCACATGGTGGAGGAGTGCAATGCTACCCAGCTACTCGACTTAGAGACTTCCTTGGCCCTGGGTGCAGGGCAGCCACCAGAATTTGAGGGTGGCAAGGAGAGGTCCTGTTCTCAGCAGAACAGCGGGGCTGCTCTTACCTGATCAGCTGCATGCAGGCAGCAAGAGTAAGGCACAGAACAGCGCTCCCTGCTGGGGTTATCGGCCGTGCAGTTGAAATACATGTTTTGGGACCAGTCCTTGTAGGAGATACCCCCACAGCAACTGAACTGTAACGAGACAGCACAGGTCAAAGAGGGCCAGGGAAGGGGAAATTGAGCCTATGCCAAAGGGCAGGTCTTTAAAAAGAGGCCAGGTCAATTTGAATGGGCTTTTAATTTTTAGTAAGTCCGACATAAACAACAGCTTAAAAACAGAGGTAGCAGGGGAATGAAAGACTTCAATAAATACATTACTCCCCATGGAGGAGAAGAAACCATAAGAACCAGGGAGACTGTCAGTTCGGGTCCAATTTAAAAGCGTTTGTAACGTGGCTTCATACTTTTCCAGGGTGAGACCCTGTGTGTGGGGGGGGGGGGGGGAGAGGAGAGAGACAGACACAGGGAACTCAAAGGAACCATGATTGTATTTCTTTAGCACTAGCCCCATTCCCTCCAGCCTCTATCCCCAATCCAACATTTCTCATGGCCTACAGACAGCAGTGGAACTGGGAGAACAGGGCTCTGGGAGACAAAGGCGTAATAAGGGTCTGAGCAGAGGGGTGGGAGTATATTTAGACTCCAGATGTGCAACGCCAGCTGCACGACAGTCCTGGGACCAAGCCCGTGGCAGGAGAACAAAATCATTTGTGCGTACATGCGAGAGAGTTCGGCGGGTACTTGTGACGAGCACGATTGGACTCAAACTGGGCGGGGTGTGGTGTCCGATGGCACCGCCCTCCCGCTGGAAAATGGGGGTCCACAAAGAAGCAGAAGGATGTGGGACTAGTGGAATGGGGTCTGATAGACAATGAAAGGGAACCAGAGAACCGTGGACACCCACAGCTCCAAGAAGGGATGAAGGGGAACAGATCCTGGCCCTGCAGCCTCGGCGAGGAGAGAGACCGTGATATGTGCTTTGAAAGGGAACTTGGGTCAAGGCAGGAGAGATGATTTCAGGGATGTTTTAAAGAGAGAGACTCAGCCATCCCCGCTACGGGGCGGAGAGACTCAGCCATCCCCATCACAGAGGAGGCCAGAGAGCTCGCCCAGGGCCAGTCACCCCATAGGAGGCAGGAGACCTGTTGGACGGCCATGTGTGCTGGCTCTTTAACTGGACCCACCTCCTTCTGCCCATAGTCGATGAGGTTCTGCAGGTCCAGGTCATCGCGGTAATGCACGACGGCGTTGTTGATGATCTCGCTCACCTTCCCGCGTGCCTGGGGGAGGAATACCGAGAGGTCGCCAGGGAGATTTCCCTCCTACCAGCGTGCTTGCACACCCCTCGCCACTCGCACCTCCTCCCCTACGATTTAAGCTCACAGCTACGCCGGACGGGTGTCACCCCCAGTTTGTAGATCACACGTGGAGCCAGGGACCTGAACCCATGTTGCCTGAATCGCAGGCCAGTGGCCTCACCCCGGCCCATCCTGCCCTGCCCCCTCCACTTGTTTGGGGTGGGAAATATACTGGAAACCAAAATGCTGGCCACCGACAAGGACGACGAGGTCAGGGACCAAACCCTGGGGCAGACACGCCTCCTGCAGTGACAGCGAACCCAGCCAGCCAGCTGCACTCTGGTGCCCACGCCCCAGCAGAAGGCTGATGTGTTTGGGTCTCCAAGTCTGCCGGGGAAGCCTTGGATCAAAACAAACCTTTTCATTTAAATAAGATTTTTAAAAGAGGACAGTCTCTGTTCACACCCAGACACCTTGCCTCCTGTTTGCGGTTCGGCCTCTCTGGCCCTCCATCCCCATGCAGAACATCCTTTCTCCAGAGGATTGCAGCTTAGTGAGGGAAGAAATCTATTCTCTCTTCCCAGGCAGCTCCCTGCCAATCCAGGTCTGGTCCTGCAGTTATGTTGGTGGATCCTACTCCCCCCACCACCACTTCAAAAGAACAATGCTCACCCCAGCTCTCTGGTGTATTTACCTTATCAGAGAAGACAAAGCCCAGCACTCCAGCTGCCAGCTGCAGCAGGAAGACTAAGGTCAGGCAGATTGAGAACTGCAGGAGAGAGAAAACAGCTGTCAGCAAATTGCCATGGAAGAGACAACAATGCACCATCTCTTACGGAGCAAGAGTTGCAGCTGCTTGGGTCACGGTGGTGCAATGTCACAGGGCAGCAGGACTCCAGGCCCATCACATTACATTCCCGTAGTGCCTTTTCACAGATTCCTATCTACTGACCACTTCACCCAGCACTGAAACGCAGCCACCTCTGGGGTGGAACAGAGCAGCTGTGTAGCCATGCACAGAGGACTGGTACAGGGGAGAGAGAAAACATCACTTTTTGAAACTGCAGGGGACGTCAGAGAGGCAGGGTGGAGTTAATGCCCCGTGCTTGCAAAATATGCTGTGGGATCTTTACCATCCCAAAGTGCTCAGAGCCTGGGTTTTACATCTCTTCTGAAAGATGGCACCTCCTGGAGCACAGCGCTCCTGTGGCCCCTTGCCGGGTCACTGGTTCAGGGCTGAACCAGACACAACCCACCTCTAAAGCGTTGTCCATGTCGGTGCTAGCAAACCAATCCACCACGGAGAGCTCGGTGCAACCGCAGGAGAGCTGTACAGACTCCAGCGTCTGTTCTCCCCTGGCTATGCAAGCAGCTCTTACCAACACACATCCAATCAGCTGGAAGGAATGAGAAACCCTCCGTCTCTTCAGCAGAGATGCCCGGCTCAATGCCATTAAAGGCACTTTGAGTGGAAAGGGTCAGTTTCCCTGGGAGGCGCATGGTTAAGTATCTGCTGGGGCACCAGAGTTCCCCAGCTCTGGCCAATAGAGGGAGCCACAAGCTTTCCTGTAATCAGCATGGCTGGGCACCAGCCAAGATTTCATGCCAATGGGTGGGGAAGGAAATTGGAGACAGAGCAGAGACACCCTGGGTCCCATCAGTCCTGACGGCTGCCCAAGGTGCCAGTCATTGAGGGGGGACCCCCAAGCCCACTTCTGGTGGTTTCTGCAGGCTGCCCAGGTAGACAGCGGGGTCCCCATGAGGCTTCCCATCCCCTGTCCTGGCTATAACCCCCATACGACTGTTCCCTGCTCCCCCGCCAGCCCAGGCTGGGATCCTGCGGCCTCCCGTCCCCTCACCGTCTGCAGCAGGCAGATGTTCTCACGCAGGGAGCCGATGCAGCCGCAGAAGGTGATCAGGAACATCAGGATGCCGACCACGATGAGCAGGATGGCGGGATCCACCGCGAGGCAGGCCATGGCCGCCTCTGCCAAGTGGGAGCAGAGGGGGTGGGGGAGAGAGAGGATGCGAGAGCACAGAGCCGTTAGTCCAGCTGCACCACCCTGCCAGCAGGCCTGTGACAAACGGGAGTGGGGATGCGTCCAAGCCCCGTTTCACTGGACAAGAGCGGCAGCTTCTCCCCTCTCCCCCCAGATGGGGTTGGTTGCTTGGGTTAAATGCCAGCCGCACACAGCAGGCCGTGCTCCCTCCCAGAGACCTCACACCCCCTTAGCTGCGTTCCAGCCTCAGACCCAGGGAAAGGCTCTGCTCTCCTCCCCAAACCCGTCTGCTTCCAGGGCAGCCAGTCTCCAGGGTCCCACCAGAAGGAGCGATCCCAGAGCCCCGACAAGGGGAAGGCGGCAGTCGCTCACCTGCGTGCTTCATCAGCCTGGCGTAGATGCCCACGGCCACCATCACCATCGAGATCATCTGTGGAGACAGGACATGGAGATTCAGAGCCAGCCACTTGCTCGGCACTTCAGCCCACACATGCCGTGTCCCTAAATGAGGGGAGGGCACTGGGGGTCTCCAGAGGGCTCAGGGGGTTGGCAATAGGATAAGGAGCCACGCTCCCTCCCCAGGCACAAGAGCAAATCCCGGTCAGCCCAGCCAAGGCTGAAAGTTACCACCATCTGAGGGGTGCTTGGGGCCTTGCTAAGTGCTAGAATATGGATATTCAGGCCTGCCTGTAAAGCGTTAAGAACTTAAGTGTATTTTTATCACTTAGCTAGTTACAGGGGTATAAAATCAGAGAATCAAAATCACCGTCCGCCTGTGTAGGGGCCTTCTCTCCCTAGGAGAGTCGGAGGCCTGGTTCTTAGGCAGGGGTGGCCAACCTGTGGCTCCGGAGTTAATATGCAGCCCCCTGTCTAGGCCCCAATTCTGGGGCTGGAGCTACAGGTGCCAACTTTCCAATGTGCCAGGGGGTGCTCACTGCTCAACCCCTGGCTCTGCCCCAGGTCCTGACCCCACTCCACTGAGCCTGCCATGCCCTCGCTCCTCCCCCCCAGAGCCTCCTGCATGCCACAAAACAGCTGATCGGGAGGTGCAGGGAGGGAGGGGGAGGCGCTGATCGGTGGGGCTGCCAGTGGGTGGGAGGTGCTGGGGGCAGCTGACGGGGGGCTGCTGACGTATTACTGTGGCTCTTTGGCAATGTACATTGGTAAATTCTGGCTTCTTCTCAGGCCCAGGCTGGCCACCGCTGGGCTAAGGCCTTTGGCTACGCAGCAGGGGCAGCCATAAGCTGGAAAGTGAACAGTCACGTTCTCCCATCCCAAATGAGTCACGTTGAAATAAGGTGGTGTTGGGCTGTTAGGAAGACAATCCTGTCCCGATAGTGCCCACCACCGCCAGATAAAGATGGTTAAAGAAAACTTAGTTTGATAGCATGCTGTCTGGCAAGAAATCACTTCTCAGTGGTTGTGAAACTCTCATTTCTGTATGTTTATCTTTATGGCCCCCACTTTTCTATTGTTCATCTGTCTGGTTCTCTAATTGTTTCTGTCTGCTATATAATTCATTTTGCTAGGTGTACGTTAATTAGGATAGTGGGATATAATTGGTTGGAGAATGATGTAACTAGGTTAGGATTGGTTAATTAAATTTCAATAAAACGATGGGTTAAGGTATAGTGGAGAATATTACTATATAAACTAGGGTCAAACAGGAAACGGAAGGGAAATTGGAATCATGCTTGCTGTCTGCATGACAAGAACCAGGGGAGAGGGTGAAGGGAAAGCTCTCTAACACTAAGCAGTGTGGATAGGGCCCGTGGGCTCTGTACCCACAGCTGCTATTCCTCTGCTGGGTGTCCTTGAATGAGTCACTTTGTGCCTCAGTTTCCCTTTGTCAGCAGGTACTGGCCGAGCTTCGTAAAGCACCCATCAGCCCCAGGGCTCAGAACGCCGAGTGTCACGGTACCCAGTGTCCACAGAACATGCCGCCACGGCAGGCGGACGGCAAGGACTGGATGGGCCCTACAGAATGCACTCCCCTCTCACCCTGGCGGGGGATCCAAGCAGGGATGGGGGCAGTACACCCGGGGAAGCGTCATCCCCTTCTCTGCGGGCAGAGACTTCACTCTGCAGGGCTGTCAGCCAGCTCCTTTCACCAACTCTGGATTCACACCCACACACAGAATCAACGCCTGGAGTGATGCTCTGCAGCCAATCCGTGTAGGGGGCGTGCGCGCCATACCCTCTCCAGGTTCTCACACACACACACCTTCCCCCTCCCACGCCCGGCTGGCTGAAAAAAGCCACAGCATTTCAAGCAATCCTGTTCTCCCACCGCTCTGTTCACCCTGAAACAGCCAACCGCCATAGCCAGGAGCTAGCCGGGAGGAGTGGACGTGGATTCTCTCTGTTCCACAGGCAGGCGGCAGTTGTGATCCGCAGACCCTACAGCCCCCTTGCCTACTGCTCTGTACAAGGCTGCCTGGTGCTTTGTGCTGGCAGACGAGTATCAACGCCCAGGGGAAGAGGCCGTCTGATTCCTGCGTCTAACCAGATTCCCAGCGAGGCAGGAGCAAACCCAGAGGGGAAGCTGGTGCCAGCCCCGGGAGGTAAAGGGGAAGCTGGCAGCAGGCTTGCCTCAGAGCCCCCTCACTAAATGCCACTGCAAAAGGAGGCTTAGAACCAAGGCTGGCCCCCTCCGGCCCCTGGGGGAGAAGCCTTGGTAACAGGCTTTACCAAGAGGCCATCATTTATCCAGCGCTGCCCAACCACTAGCCTGCTTTTTGTAGCTGGAGGAAACTGAGGCTCAGAAGAGAAGCCGCTGGCCCATGGCCGGTGCCTGGGGCAGAGCTGAGAATAGAGCCCAGGCGTCCCTACCCAGTGCTCAGCCCACCAGACTGCGCAGCCTCTGCTAGCCACTTCCTTCACTTGGGCCTCACATGGTACGTCCACAGTGCCGTTAAAGACCCCTGGCTAGCTGGCTTGGGCCAAGGGGCTGTTTAGCCATTTGGGCTGGGTCTGGAGTTTGGGCTCTAGGACCCTGCAAGGTGGAAGGGTTGAGCCTCCACACAGCAACTCAACTGCCCCTTAGCCTGAATCAGCCGGCACGGGCCAGCTGCAGGTGTCTAATTGCAGTGTAGACCTGTCCCTGCCGGCGGGAAGGTAACAGATTCCCTCCAGGCTTCCCCCTGGGCTGGACTCTCTGCATTGATCTCATTACAGGAGGCACCAATGACAAGGCCGAATTCCAGTGTCAGTGGGGTGTGAAAGTGACAGTTCATAGCAAGTGTGAAAAATCAGGACAGGGATTAGGGAGTACCATACGCCTATATTAGGCAAAGCCCTGACTTTCGGGACTGTCCCTATAAAAATCGGGACATCTGGTCACCCTAAGCGTCAGCCACGTGTCCCAGGTGCTCCCATTACAGGGGAAGCAGATTGTTCCCCACGCCCCACTGCCAGGAATCAGGCCTGCTAACCCTGCACCCTCCCCACCCCACCCCACCGCAGAAGGAAGTTGCATTCTCATTGTTCTGCACTTTGAATCCAACCCTTTTTTGGGTCCTTAAAGGACAAATGGAAGAACAGAAGGAGGGAGTGGACCGAACTTGACCACCATGGCTGCCACCCCCACCACCCCCTAGGACCCTGGACCTTCTTTCCTAACCCTCAGGGACATCCTGAGGAGACGAGGCCAGGGAGAGGGACCCAGAGGGCATCGCCACCTCTGCTGGCTACAGCGGAATCCCAAACACCCTCTGGGATGAAACAGGATCGGACTTTAACAGCAGCATCGCGACTGACTTCTTCTCTGTTCTCCAAAAAGGACGGTAATCACCATGTGTGACATCATCAAAGAAACGGTCTAACAAGGGGCGTTTCCATCTAAAACTCTCCGAAGCGTAAGGGAACAAGGGAGGCTGTTAAAACGAAGCCTGACTCAACACTTCACATTTCAAATGCTTTAGCTGCTTTTCCTTCTTTTCTTTAACTTTACTAAATACAATGGTTTTTACCTGGTGCGTTTGCCATGGTGCTAAGCCGGCTGAGGGCTCTGCACAGCCAGCCTGGTTTAACACTGTTCAGTGAAGGACAGCGACTGGGTTAGGATAACCCCTTTGACCCATTTATTCCATCTAAATTAATACAACACCCCTCAAGGGTCTTTTGCACTGCTCCCAAGAGCCATTCGTTGCTGCAGGGCCCGCGCAGGCTGCGGCTGTCCTTTCCCGGAGCCCGCGGGGTGAAGGCAGACGGAGGCCGGTGAATTCAGGCAGTTTCAAGACAACTCTGTCGTGTTTGTGGCCCCTGCATCGCTGCCCCGATAAGACAGACCGCTCGCTGCTCCCCGGCAGCTCTGAACCAAGGGACGGGGAGCGGGATGGAGGCTTACAGGCAAGTCTATCAGGGTCACAAAGGTGGCCCCGGCTGGGGAAGGACAGTCAAGCCAGAGGCTCTCCCCACTTTGGCTTCCAGCCGTTCCCCTTCGCACAGCGGCTTACGCCCGTTCCTTCCCACCCGTTCTCCCAGGCGGGAAGCAGCTTGGTATCCCCGGAGCACAGGGCCACCCCTACGCAGGCAGGGAGGCCTCTTGTCACGCAGAACGGGCGCAGGGTAAGCAGCACATCCCTTGCCTGGCTAATGGGTCTCATTCTAACGCGGAGGAGCCAGCTGCAGTTCAGTGTCCACTGCCCCCTACTGGCTGAAAGCAGAGCGCAGCTGCCCCCTCTGTGCCCTGTCTTGGGTAAGCGGGGCTAGGCCGCAGCACCCCGCCCTTGTCCTTCATGCAAGGAGAGCCCCCCCCGGCAGCTAACCGCCCGTCCTAACCCCGACAGACGGCGCACGCTAGCCAGGCTCACCGAGCCGAGACACGACAGACGTCCAAGCCTGATGGATGCCAGGCGCACGGAGCAGATGCTTGGACACGGAGGCACTTGTCCTTCATGCACCGCAAAGCAAGGGACGGGAGACGCACGTCGCCCCGCCCCGCCCCAGCCGCCACGGAGAGAGGGGAAGATGGAGGCCCGGCCACCTGCTGCGCGATTCGGGCTTCCCACGAGGGCCTTGGCACCGGTGACCTCTCCCGACGGAAGGGAGGTTGCGAGCAGGGTGGGAGGTGACGTGACGGCTGCTCAGCCTGAAGGAGCCCTGGGCACCAGCCTCGGAAACAGAGACTGCCACAAGATGGCTGACAAGGGGGGCGCCAACTCCCTGCTTCCCTCACCCACTGCTGAAGCACCGAGGGGCGGGAAGAGGGGAGAAATCTCCCAAGCTGTCCAGTCAGCCCCCAACCTGAAGCAGGTCTCCCAAATAGCATAGGGCCAGGCAGTGCCCTAAGCAACCAGGCAGGATGCAGGGGGTGCAATTCCTGGCGCTCGTGGCCTATTCCCCAGGCCATCCAGGGATGGGAGTGCCGCACACCCACCAGCCTGGCAGGGACCAGCCACTTACTGTGACAGGCCGATGCCCACACTG